ATTGTTGGTAGAGATATACAAGATTATAACTGCTGTGGAAAATAGTATGGCGATTCATTTTTAAAAAAATGACATAGAATTGCCATAAGATCCAGCATTTACACTTCTGGGTAGTATAACCCCCCAAAGAAGTGGCAGGCATGACTGACATAGAACATCACTATCTTTGTTCGTGGCAGCATTCACACAACACAAACATCCAGATAAGTGGGTAAGTCCAAGTAGTTTACACTTGCAGTGGAACATGCAGCCTGTGACAGAAGGGAATTTAATACTATATGCTGCAGCATGGATGAACCTTGAAGACATCCTGCTAAGATATCTGATAAGACAGTCCCTAAAAAGAAATATTTTGTACTCCACTTCCAGGAAGTCCAGGGAGTAGTAGATTCATACTGGGAGCAAAGTGACTGTTGTCAAGAGCTGGAAACAGAGGGAACTGAGGGGCTGGTGTTCTGCGGGGACAGAGTTTCAGTCTGGCAAAATCAAGAAGGTTCTGGAGATGGATGCTGGTCACATAAACTGCTCTGAGTTGTACATTTCACAGTGGTACAGTGGTCAGTTTTGTTACGTGTATTGCATCACAACAACAAAAAAAGCAGATAGAATACTTTTTTAAATTTTATTTTTATAGTGTTTACAATAATGTATTACATTCAATATTCCATCACCAATCCCACCACCATTACCCCTTCCCACCACCATATTTCAAATTCTTCCACCCAGACCCCAAAGTCTACCCCTAAAGCAGGATCTAAGTAGTTTATTTTGTTTTGCTTGTTAAGAATATTGCACTAAAAATGATCCAAAAAGGTTTCCTTAGAGCATAGTGTGTGAAGATTTTTGTATCTCACCCTGAAGCCATTAAACCCTTATATAAGAGATTACTAGCATGTTGTTAAAGATTGAGCCTTGTGTGCTAAGGCTTCTTTGTTGCCTTCTACCTTACACCCCATCAAATATGGTGTGCTACTCTTGGTACATCGGTGGGATAGATACAGTAGTGTGCTCCAGGAATTCTAAAATTTTAAATAGGGAATCTATATCTACACTTCTGCCTCTGGTGTACGTTACTCTCTATACCAGAGAATAATGACCCGGTCAGGACATGTAGAAATTGGGACCCTCATAACATTGTGAGTGAGGATGCAAAATGGGGTGCCCTTTGTGGTAAATAGTTGGCACATCCTCAAAAAATTTAGAGATGAAGTTAGCCCTGGAAGCAGCAGCTGCCTGGTTGAGTGTGTTATACATAAGAGGTTGGGAACCATATGTTCATACAAAAACTAACGCACAAGCATTTACAGCCGCATTATTCCGTGGGAGCCCCCAAGCAGGGGCACCCTCTGTGTTCACGGCATGATGAGACGATGACCAGAGGATCTCCATGCACGAGACAGTGTGCACTGCATAGAGGAATGAACGTAGAGTCAACCAATGTAGATGGGCCTCGGAAATATTTATATTTATTTATAATGAGTGAAAGTAGCTAGGCGCAAACAAGGACTTGAGTATTCTGTGATTGTGCTGAAATAAAATGGGGAAATCCGAAAGCACAAAAAGATAGGTCAGTGATTGCAGGGCTCAGGTGATAGGAAATGAAGCTAGGAAATTAGCTGCTAATGCGCTGGTTTTACGCTGGTGTGGAAAGGTCGAATCAGCCATGTCATGCTGATGGGCATGGGGTGGTTTGTTCACCCCTTGTTATATCGGTTGGTCTGTTGGATTCTTGCTTTTTCGGGGGTGGGGCAGGGTTGGGGTGGTAATGAGAATGTCCTGAAATTAGTGGTAACACTTTAACACCTCTGGAGCATACCAATAACCACTCATTTGTATACTTTAAAAGTGTTGAGTGTGTGGGGTCAGAGTGATAGTGCATTGGGGGTAGAACATTGTCCTTAACATGTGTTTGACCTGGGTTCAATCCCCAGCACCCCATTATGGTCATCTGAGCACCACCAGAAATGCTCCCAGCACACAGATCCTGGAGTTGCTGGGCATGGCCCCCAAACCAATAAATAAATAAATAAAATAGAAGTGTGTTATGGCATGTGATTTTTATCTTAATTTTCAAAGAACTGCATAAGAATGCCAAACGCTGTCCTAATTCCAGTGAAAGCTTATATTTCTTGTAACTTCTAACCCTTCACCTATTACAGCTCCTGCCAAATGGTCTCATTCCATCCAATATCCCTCACCCTTCAGCTACCAAGTGAAATTGAGTTCCCAGATGCAGTGTGCTGCACCATAATACTGATGGCCCGCCTTTCCTGTGTGGTGCTCCGGGTTTGAGCTGGGGCCCCTTCAAGCACGTGAGGCCTGTGCTCTAATGCTGTCCTGTCCCCAGCCTCACCATCCCCATTCCCCCCCTTTATTTGATTGTCACTCCTCCCTCATATACCCCTCATTTTTCTGTTTGTGGCAAACCCTTGCTCCGGCCCTAACCCCCCTTCACAGGTATCTCTACCTCTCTGACCAGCCCCTGAAAGGTTCCTTTTCCCTCCAAACATGATCAAATTCTTTTGTGTCCATCACCTGGTGTAACAGTAATCAGTTCGCCTTTCCACCTCACCCACTGATGTAACAGCCTCTTAGGGTAGAACCTGTTTGCTGTTCATGTATCTCCATCACCATAGAGGTTTCCTGACAAGAAGGGTTCTTGATAGTGGCGAGAATTTTACAATTAATGATGACTGATTAAAAAACAATAATGATGAATATTTTAGTACACTTGACTTTGTGTCCATTGATGATTTACATTTAGTAATTCCTTTTGATCATCAGAGGATTTAGTTGAGTACAGCAGTTCAGTAGCTCCCTCAGAGTTCAAGGAAGCACCAGGACTGGGATTTGAATCCCCGAGCCTGTGCTCTTAACCACAGTGTTCGACGTTTTATCAAAATTTAGTTGCATACATTCTGTTATTTTTGTATAATTTCTGTACCTTTAAGCCTGTGCTGCTGGTAAGCCCTTGAGTAGCATTTATTTCAGGGAACTTGTGTGCATTGTTTTATTTGTTTGGGTTGCCATAGATACTAATATAATTTTGACGTGCGAGTCAAGTAATTCCCGCTGGTAATATTTCCCTATTAACAAAGTGAGGACAGAAAGAAATCAGCGATATGGCAAAGGGAAATGTGCCGAAGAGCCATGCCTTCTCCTTCCGGAGTTCTTGCTCTTATGGAGAGTGAGGAAGACTAAGGTTCCATCAAATGCAGCGTCACTTGGAAAATGCTAGGAACAGCTTCAAATCGTCAAATGTGGCATTCACCTCATCGCCATGGCCCCAGATTGTATATAGCAGAGCAAGTGTACAACTGTGTGACAGCCAGGGAGCAGTGCCAGTGTGTCTCTCTGCCTTTCAGCAGACCAGATATTATATTAAAAATCGAGGCCAAAGCACAAACCAAAACTCAACCTCAATTTTCAATAACAAAAAGTTAATACCAGACTATAAGGTTTTGTCAATGTTAAGAATTAACTTGTTGCAAACAAGAATTTTGCCTACTGATCTCCTCAATCTTCCATAAGAATAGAATGTTTGGGGCCAGAGTGATAATAAAGAGGATAGAGCGCTTGCCTTGCATGCAGCTGACCCAGGTTCTATCCCCAACAACCTGTATCCTCCCTCTGGGCCCCTCCAGGAGTGCTGCTTGAGTGCAGAGCCAGGAGTCAGCTGGTCAGCACCACTGGATGTGGCCCATGAAGCAAAACCAAAAAAGGAGCGATAGCACAGCGGTAGGGCGTTCGCCTTACAAGCGGCCAACATGGCCGACCCGAGTTCGATTCCTCCGCCCCTCTCGGAGAGCCCAGCAAGCTACCGAGAGTATTTGATATGCCAGACACAGTAACAACAAAGTCTCCAATGGAGACGTTACTGGGCCCGCTCGAGCAAATCGATGATCAATGGGAGGGCCTTTACCTTTACCTTTACCTAATGAACCTGAGGGGAAAATAAGTTTCATTGCTTTTATTAAGCAATGGCAGACCAAGACTTTGCTCGAAAGGGTGGGAGGATGTCCCATGCATGTAGAAGCCCCAGGCTCCGTCCTCAGCACCACATGGTCCCTGGACACTAACAGGAATAACCGCCAGGCAGCAAGCTGAGCATAGCCACCAGCACAGAACAAAATGACAAATAACGAACAGAGGTACCAAAACACCACAGATATCACAGCTATATATATTTTTTCCTCTTAGTTTACCCCCAAATAGACTTGTTTTATTTACTTTCTTGGTAAGAGTGAGTAGAGCTCAGTGAGAGTGTTGCCACATTGATGAACTGGTTCTTTAGCCCTGGCGAGCCTATCTCGTTGACAGTTTTAATGGGACCGTTAAGATTTCATTTTGGTTTATTATAGCACATCCACACAAAGCTGGAGCTTAACCATTCATAGCTAAGGAATCTCAGAGACACTATTTTTATACCAGCCAGACATTTTCTATTCATTGTCTGAGAAGAAAAACATATAAGTGAAAAACATTCCACAAACATAAAAACCTCCATTGGCCAGACACACTCCTTCCCTACCAAGTCTCCATATTGCCTCTGTTTCTTCAGGGCCGTTCTTGAATTCCCTCACATGCTTAAACTTTCCCTGCCACTTTCCCACACGGGGAGCTGTTCCCTTCCTATTCCTGGTTTTCCTTTCTCTGGCCTCATGCGGATACTGGGAGGCTCTAGGGCTTGAACCCTGCTCATGCCAGCCACACCAGAGATGCTGCGTCTCAGCCTCAAGTGTGGAGTCTCCGTGATGGTGAGAAGTAGAAAGCTCTGAAATAGCATGTTCTAGAAGGCCTGGCGAGAGAAGACAGAACCATGCCTTCCACAGGAATCACATCGCCACGGTGTGTGGAAGGTGGGAGACCACACCGTGTTGGGAAATGGGAGACCAAGGCTACATACCTGCTGATTTCCTAGCCATGTTAGTTGATAATTAGTGCTTTTTTTTCTTTTTTAAACTGGAAAGACCTTCATTTGTTTTTACTTTCCCTTTCAGGAAACCAGATGCCCCAGTGCCTCACGAAGAAGGTGAAAAAAACACAGAAGACAGTTCAGAGAGTGAATCTTCTTTTAGTGACTAAACTTAATTTTGATAAGAAGTACACATATAGCAGTAGTTTTATAAGAAAGAGAGCCTGAGTTGAAACGTCCAGTCACAAAAACACGAAGTGACCGCCTTTCTCCCACTGAGTGCCCTCTGCTAGGAGAAATAAAATGTTTATAACCTCCTAGTCTGTCTTATTGCTAAGTAATGCAGTAAGAACTTCAGAGATGGAGATGAGACTGTAATACTTAGGGACACAATGAATATCCCAAGTGAAGTCAGTGGGAAACCAGAGGAAAAGCTCCGAGATTTTTTTTTTTATTAGTGAAACACCATGAGGTACAGTTGTAGACTTACAAATTTTTGTGCTTAGGTTTCAGTTATACAATGATCGAGTACCCATCCCTCCACCAGTGCCCATTCTCCACCACCACTGATCCCAGTATCCCTCCCACCCCCCATCCTCCCCATCCCACCCTGCCTCTGTGGCAGGGCATTCCCTTTTGTTCTCTCTCTCCTTTTGGGTGCTGTGGTTTGCAAAAGAGGCATTGAGTGGCATTCATGTTTGGTCTATAGTCTACTTTCAGCATGCTTCTCACACCCTGGCAGAATCCTCACAACACCCTTTATTTGGTGCTCCCTTCTCTATCTGAGCTGCCTTTTCCCCTAAGAGCTCTGAGACTTAAACACACCTGCCTTGTGAGCACCAGATCTCAAGTTCGAATCCCCTGAGTACTTTATGTGCTCAGCACAGTCCTGACTGCTCTGTTCTTGGGTCCCAAGGAGTGAGTCACAGCTCTATCGAGTGTGTGACCAGCTGCTCCAAGAGGGTGTTTCTCCATGCGCCCGTCATCCTTCACCCCACGTCTGCCCAGGCCCGGTGCGCAACATGTTCGAGCATGTTGGGGAAAAACCTATTCCCCAACATCTGGCATGAAATACCACAGGGAAGAGAGGTGAGCACCCTGGTGAACACCAAAGCCATAGCATATGCACAACCACTAAGCATGTCACTACAGCGACCACATGTGCAGGCTTCCCGGGTCCAGAAATCTGTGGCCCAAGACACTAGAGGAGGGAAAGAACTTGCCTTGCACGCCGTCACCCTAATCCACCGTGCATTAATCACAGCACAATACATGGTCCCTTGGGTGTTGCCCCCAAGCCCAGCCCTACTCTCCCGCACTCAACCCCAACCCCCAACCCCTGCCCAATGCACAAATGTAAAGGAGTGCAGATCTTGGCAAGCACCACAGCCAAAGTGTAAAACATGCACCCTGATGTGTGTTCCTGCGACCACTGCAACCTGGCCCATGTGCAAACCCCAAAGCACTGCAGTAGCAGCAAAGCAGAGGGGGTAGTGGGGAATGGGGATTGGAAATAGTTAAAAAAAAATTAAGTAAAAATGTGAGTTTTTTAGAACACTCAATACCAATTATTCCATTTTTGTGCATTTTTAGCATGGAAGTATGTAATTCGTATCATAAGAATTAAATTTGTTGGAACATTTTATGCCTGAAACTCCATCATAAATAACTTTGTAATTCATGGTGATTCAATTAAACAGAGAAAAAAAAAGAATTAAATTTAGAGCAGGAAATACTAAATTTTAAATTGTTGGTAACAAAACCTTACATTATGGATAGGGTGTCTATTGGTAGCGATGTTAAAGGCATCTCAACTGTGCCATTAGATTATATCTGATCAAAGTCAAGCATTAGAGAAATTGAAGGCAATTTTAATGTGATGACAGTGAACAAAGCATCATTAACACTCATTGTATAAACTTTGCACAAATGTGAAATGTCCCTCATGAATCACTTGATCACTTGACTTCCCATTAATCATCGATTTGCTCGAGCGGGTGCCAGTAACGTCTCCATTTGTCCCTGTCATGTGCTAGTGTAGCCCAATGGCGTCTGTTCATTCTAGGAACACGAAGAGCCTCAAACCGATCGTTCTTGATCTTGATGAAGAAGTCTGACCATCTGGTAGGTGGGCAGCCACATGGTCTTTTGACGTCCCATGAAATCCAGTCGGTAACGGCTCTAGTCCAGTGCTCGTCTCTAAATCTCATTATGTGACCAGCCCATCTGATTTTTGACACCTTGGCAAATGAGACAGCAACCCTGATTCTTGATCGTTGATGGAAGTCTGAACTCCGGATTTTCTCTCACTTGAGTGAATCGTGATACTTCAAGCATAGCTCTTTCAATTCCTCTTTGGTAGACCCGAGTAGCGTTCTCATCCTGTTTGCTTAGGGCCCAGGTCTCTGAGGCATATGTTAATGCAGGAAGAACAGTGGAATCAAAGAGATGTGCCCGGAGCCGGAGGTTCTTCGTCCTCTTAGCTATTTCTTCGATGCTCTTGAAGGTGTTCCAAGCCGCTCTCTTCCTCCTGCGCAGCTTGGGTGCCAGGTCATTTGTCATGTTGACCTCACGACCTAGGTACACATAGCTGTTGCATTCGGAGATGGTCGTTCCGTTGAGAGCGAATGGGGCATCAGAAACGAGGCTGTTTCTCATAAACATTGTCTTCATAAGATTCAGCTGTAGTCCGACCTTTCCACACTCACAGTCGAAGTCAGCCAGCATTTGTGCTGCTTGGCTAATGTTTGGTGTTATTAAAACAATGTCATCAGCAAAGCAGAGGTGGTGTAGTTGCCGACCATCTATCTTCACTCCCACTCCTTCCCATTCCAGTCATCGCATGATGTTCTTGAGGGTGGCACTGAAGAGTTTCGGTGAAATGGTATCACCCTGCCAAACCCCTCTCTTGACATGGATGATTATTTCTTTGTAGAATGGTGAGATCCTGGTAGTGAATCCGTAATACATTTCACGGAGGATCCTGATATATTGAGCTTGAATGCCCTGTTTGGCTAGGGCTTCAATGACCACTTCTGTCTCAACAGAATCAAAGGCCTTCTTTAAATCAATGAACGTTAGACAGAGCAGCATGTTGAACTCCCGAGAAACCTCAATGAGCTTGGTTATCATGTGGATATGGTCGATGGTGCTGAATCCTTTGCGGAACCCGGCTTGCTCGCATGGTAGTCCTTCATCTAGTGTTCTGCCAATCCTATTCAGGATGACTTGAGTGAACAGCTTGTAGATGACAAAACAATAGGCAGACTGGGCGATAGTTGCCAATGTCGTGGATGTCTCCCTTCTTGTACAGTAGTACGGTCCTGCTGGTTTTCCATTGGGACGGAAACTTGCATTCAGACAGGTAGTGTGTGAAGAGCCGAGCCAGCATATTGATGAGTACTGACAGCAGGTTCTTCAGGTGTTCAAGTCTGACCTTGTCTGGGCTGGATGATGTTCATTTCTTTACCGACGAAATGGTGTATCGGATTTCAGAAGGGAGAACATTGGGAACAACATATCCATCCTGTGGAATTTGGTATGTCGGCAGGTGGACATGACTATGGTGAAGAGATCTGAGTAGAAGTCATGGATAATCTTCTCCATTGCCCTTCTAGAAGATGTGATAGATCCATCAGGATATCGGAGGGCAGTCATTTTGGTCTTATAGTTGGCGAAGGACAGGCGGGCATTACGAATACTTTTCCCAGCTTCTGCTGCATCTGCCAGCACTTCTGCTCTTCTCTCTTTGAGGTCTTCCTTGATCACGTCTCTGCACTGCTTTGTGAGCTCGGACGTTCGCTTGTGGTTGCCTGAGACATGCACCAAACCACGCTGGCTAATAAGCTCAAGAGTTTTCGAAGACAGGCATTTTTTTTTTGTGGCTATCTCTCTCTTGGCATTCCTCGCTCAATCATGGAGGTGCTGAACCAGTCGATCGTATTCCTCATCAATGTTGTCAACAATGGCATCTTCCCATGTTGCAGCAATAGTGCCAAAGAGCTCCCAGTTGATGGTCGTTCTGGAAGTTCTCTTCTTAAACTTTGCAGCCCTTTCTCCCCGCTCTGTGAAGTAGAATTTTGCATGAAGGATACGGTGGCCCAAACCCATTTGGAATTTTGGGACAACAGCGACATCGCTCAGGCAAAACCATCGATTGAATATGATGTGGTCTATTTCGTTGTGGAACCATCCACCAGGAGACTCCCATGTCCAACGTTTAGATTCGGCCTTCTGGAACTGTGAGTTACCATGGATGGTCTTGGTCGACATGATGAACTCAGACAGTCTCTCACCCTGTTCATTCCATTCTAGGCCATGGGTCCCGATGTGGAGTTCTTCGGCTGATCATCTCGGTCCTATCTTGGCATTAAAATCACCCACAAAGATCTTGTAGAAGGTGTGGTCTTCTTTATAGAACTCCAGCTCCATGTAGAACTTCTCGATTTCTCCTTCATCATAATTGGATGTTGGTGCGCAGACAACAAAGATAGAAACTGCCGGCAGTGAGCCACATCTATTCAAATGTAAACGTCCGATTCGGGTTGTTAGGCATTCGAATGAATCAATACTCATGGCCAAGTTCATGTTGACAAGGACACCAACGCTCCCAACGCCTCTTTTTTCACATGTTCCGAGGAACAATTATTCTCTAGTGTCGAAAACAGCGTGATATGATTGGTGCCTTCTTGTCTTGGTCAGACCAATGATGTTGTACTTGATCTTTTGTGCTTGTACCATCAGGTCCTCGATGGATGCATCTGATGCTAGTGTACGTGCATTGAAAGTACAGACGATCATTTTTGTTTTCCTTCATTTTGGTAGCCTAGTTCGGCCTTGAGATTTTATCAGCCTCTCCTTTCTCATCCTTCTCAACGCTGCCATATTGGTGATGCCTTCAGGGTCAGGGGAATGAGACCCATTGTAATTACTGGTTTTGGCATATTGAATACACAACGGATAGCTTGTGAGGCTCTGCCTTGCGGGCGGAATACTCTCGGTAACTTGCCAGGTTCTCCGAGAGGGATAGAGGCTTTTGGTGTGGCCTCTAATCACCCTTGTAGGTGTTCCCATGGTTCAAACCATATTTGAACCCTATCAAATATGGTACGGCAATTCTGGAAGATGGGTATTAAGTGTCTTATAATGTGTGCATGAATAACTACGCGGAAATACCTGTGCTTGGCAGTGCTAAGAGTGAGAGAAGCTGAAGACAGACCCCAGAAAAGTACTTGGGTGCGGATGAATCTGCTTTTGGGGTGAAGATCCCAGGAAGTAGGAGTGAGAAGGTGGGAAGAGCCCGGGGGGCTGGGAGGAATGTGGTGTCTCAGCGAGAATTAAGGAGCTGTGACTGTCACCGGGCCCATCCCTCACTGGTCACCTCTAAGACCACTCTTGAGTCTGAGAGATCAAGTAGGTTCCTCTGACACTGGGAC